AATGTGCAATTACTATTTGATACCCTGTGCGATAACCTGTTTCTCTATATTTGACACCCAGTTCTATATATATAAATATAAATGCCCATCTATATAGATACTCATGTAAACATCATGTGCAATAACCCTGAATAATAATCCTACTATGAAAAAGAAAAACAGTGGACGCACTTTAAATGCTGTATATATCATATGCACCTTTTCTTCCTTTGGCACCTTCTTCTTCTCCTTTAACTATTTAAGCTGATGTAACGAGGACATTTCTCCACTGTGAGATCAATAGAGCCATCAATCAATCAATGAGTTCTAATCCTCTCCCTATAAATATTTAATTCACTGTAATATAATACGATAATTCTTTAATAAGATCTTTAAGAGCAAGAACATCAAACGGACATGCAATGGTTTTTTTTTAAAGCAAATTTTTCTAACGGATATAGTTAATGATTGTTTAGCTTTTTTTTTGCAGAAAACTACAACAACAATCTGACTAAATTAGAAAATAAACCAGTTTGATTGGCTGTAAGGAGAGCATAGAGAGGACGCTCAGAGTTTATTGAAGAAAACCTGCTGCCAACCAGGTTAGCTCTGGGGAGAATGTTACTACAGTGACTGAAACAGGCGGTGCAGTGAATAGCGCACACGACCCATGTACGGAGGCCTTAGTCCTGGACCCTGGCTTGAATCCGACTTGTGGTCCTTTGCAGCATGTCTCTCCCCCACTCTCATATCCCCTTTCCTGTTAGCCTACTGTCGAAAAAAGGAGCCACTAATGCTGCAAAAACTAAAAAAAAAAAGAAGCAGAGGTTGAGCAAACTCTCTTCCTGAAATGGAAAACGCAGAGTTTCCCATATTTTAAAATAACTTGGAGTTATTATTAAAGAAAAGCAGAGGGCCAAAGAACAATAACCAAGAAAAAGGGTTATTTCGCCAGTACCCCTTGTGTGCCTTCACTTTTTGTTTATCCCTTTACCTTGTTTTCTTTGGATCTATAAAATATTTAATCTTTAGTTATTTTATGATTCAGTGCTCATATTCTTTAATGTTGTTGATTACCTGTGTGAACAGAATTTATTAAATCCTTAGTCCAGAAAATTCAATCCTGTCCAAATATGCAGTCTTTAACATGTAAATCCACTTTGGGGTTTTAGGTTGTATGAACTAACTTCCTGCCTGAACAACTCGCTCTGCTCCAGACTGACCTGGGATGGGTAGTGCAAGCAGCAAAAATAAAACATCTGCATATTTTAAAGAAATGGTATGTGAAGGCACATCTGGGATGTTTCATAAACACACCACAGAGCACAGGTGGAATAGCGCTTACTGACTGGAGTATCTTCGATCCGCTGTGAAAATACTACTACAACATTTAGTGGCATAGAGGGGTTAGATGGAGTGGATCCATCCTACTTCCATGAGCAGCAGATCTCAATCTAATACACTTCTTAGATGTGGTGGTACAGGAGAAAAACATATGGAGAAAAGCATATTACTGTGGCTTATTAAAAATAGATGAGAAAAAAATCTACTATAAACTTTAACAAAAGATCTTTCTAAATTTGATCCGATCCTTGATTTGCTTTCTGCTTTTAAGTTCATATTTTATTAGCATAATTTTTTTTCTCCCTGGTAGCAGTTTAATCCTTTGATTATTCTATTACTGTTTGCTGATGGCTAATTTTTACACATTGATTTTTCACTTTACAATGTTCGACTTTGGATAATGAAAAAATATTTTTGTTAAAACCCACAGATTTCTCCACACGAAGTATACCATAATTTTCTATACCTTCTTCTTAAAGCTGGATTCTTTTTCCTCAGCTCTCTATGTATCTTTACAGTTAATTTAGTTCATTAACAGTAGACTTCTACTGTCAGCTTATGATTAGTAAGGTGGACGATCACCCCACTAGATTTTTTTAACTACTTAGCCAGAAAGTGTGTTTTTAGTGAATAAGTCTTCCCTGTGATTTATTACTGTACGTACTGTAAGCCACTTTCTTTAATTTACAACCTTTGATTCATTAATTCCACCTTTGATACTCTCTTCAGTCCCCTATGTAGAGGCAGTGACGGAGTGTGAATCAAAGAAAGCTCAGTCTAACTAATGATGATGAATAATAGAAGCTCAGTGTCATTTCAGTGACCCTAAACATTGTGTGTGACCGTCATTAATGGAACATCACTGCTCTATTCCAAGAAGTTCACTTAAAATAAATCTAATTAATGGAGATTATTCCATCTGCTGCTTCATTCTGTTCAAACTTTTAAAATCATTATACTGCACCACCGGAGAATTGGATTTCTTATGCACCCTGAGTTTATAGAAATCTAAAATAGACAGGAAATAAATGAGTTAAAGTTATTTCCTGATTTATTAGCATCAGAGCTGAAGCTTACCCCATATACTTCTCTTAAAGCTTTTCTTCTTTCTGAATCTCAATGATTCTTTAAAGACTATAAGATCCACCTGAGTCGACCTTTTGTCTTACTTGCAGGGCATTGCACTTTGTCAGCCTAAACCAAAGGTCAGCTTTGGAAATGACAAAAGGTAGGACCTGGCCCATCCATGTCTAGAGGAAATTAATCTTTACTTAGCCTGTCTAAGCATATCAATATATTACATTTTACAAAAGAGTGTTTATAAATAGAGGAAGAATAACCTATAACTGTGAAATGAAAGCCCTTACGTTGCAACCATACAGCTTTACATAGCTAGTTATTATTTTATTATTGAAAGTTGGGATAAACAACATTCCTGCTTGTTATCAGTGTTTCACAGTAAAATACCTTTACATAAAATATCTACAGTGGAATGCAGCTAAGGGATTTTTTCCATTTGCCAGGTGAGAATTTTCTTAACATGCTAAGTTCTGTAATTTTACCTTAAAATATTGTACAGAGAAAAACACAAACAAATAAAGATTAAAATGGACTGGTAAATTGGCAGAAACTCAAATATCTCTTGTGTTTCTTATCAGAAACCTCATGCTACAACTTCACACTTAATTACACTGAATTATTGAATTATGTTAATAAACAATTGTCACCCAATGCATAGAGGAGTACAGGCAAACTAGCTTGGAAAATTAAATGTGCAGCTGTTGTCGCTAGCATGCCTGTGTTTTTTCAATTAAAAAATGCTATTGATTATTTGTCTCACAAATTTGCAGACCTTAAGTCGTTGATTGTTTGTTTACAAAAAAACTCTTTCTTATTCATTGTGTACGGTTTGCCTTTCGCATTACGTTTATAGCATAACTTGCTTATATAAGTTGCTTATATATATTTATATATATATATATATATATATATATATATATATATATATATATATATATATATATATATA